GAGCACTGGCATACAGTAAAGTTGGGGTTTTTTTTTTGAGGGTCTAGCTGTGTTGCCCAGGCTAGAGTGCAGTGTTGTTGTTTAGTGCAGTGGCCTTGTTACAGCCCACTGCAGCCTCAAACTCTCGGGCTCATGGGATCCTCCTGTCTCAGCTTTCTAAGTAGCTGGGACTACAGGTGCCACCACCACGCTGGCTAATCTTTCTATTTTTCATGGAAACTGGGTCTCACTTTGTTGCCCAGGCTGGTCTTCAACTCCTGGCCTCAAGTGATCGTCTGGCCTCAGCCTCCCAAAGTGCTAGGGTTACAAACGTGAGCTGTGTAGCCAGGAAGCAAGGATATGGAACAGCTAGGGAGCCTCTGGCCCAGTATCTATTGATAACACGCTGTGAGTACCATTGAAGAAAGTGTGGTATTAATAGTTCTAAGTGAGAATGCCATATATTATTTTTAAAATTTATATATATGTATGTATGTATATATATATATATATATTATATATATATATATGGAAATGTTAACTACCTTAGTGGTGTTTTAGGGATATGGAAAAGGTAAATTTATATCTACAAGTGTGGTGTCATTTGTTTTTTCAGTACATGTGTTTGTAACCTCTTTTTAATTATTTTAATTTGTAGGGCCTTTAAAAGGACGCAGAGTTGAAGGAATTCAATATCGAAGACATTTCAAAACTTGCCTGAGTTTGAAAATTGTCAACACACATTAAAATCCTAAAACATCAAATTGGTGTTCGCCAAAGCATTATGAGACTCTACTGTGTTAGGGTTATCCTTTTGTATAAAAGAAATGGATTTTTGAAATATAACTGTATAGTTGTTTAGCTAAACTTATAGAAAATGATCAATTACTCTGAAGAGCTCAAGTGATCCTCCCGCCTCAGCCTCCCAAAGTGCTAGGATTACAGGCGTGAGCCTCTGTGCCCAGACTACCTTGTATCTAATTTGATAAGTTTAAATAATAATTTTCCTTAAATATATATGGGATATCAATTTTTTTCTTCTAGTTACGTTTAATTTGAATAAAGGAGCATGTAGTTCGGCAGGAGCAACATCCTCCAAGTCAAGGTGAGCTACATTCACAGGTATCTTGAACCTTTAGGATTTTTGTGAAATGTAGGCGGTTACTACTTGTTAAAGCATCGTGAATCATTCTTTTCTGGTCGCAATTTTCTTCTTTCTTGGTTTTTCTTTGTCAATCGGGGTTTCTGTTGGTCTGATTGATTTTTAGCAACTGTTCTTATTTGCCTGCGATGAGATCCGATCTTTTGAGGAAAGGCTTGTTTTAAATGCCTCACTTTTGGTTCACCGTGAATCTCCATGTAATGGTTCTGTCTGCACTACTATAAAACTGTTTATTTTCCTATCACAGCCCACTTACCAAAGTTTAAATATTACCTGGGTGTACATTTTTCTTTTAACCGCTGTATTGTGGTTTTCTGAGAACAGAGACTAAGCAATCAGCCTCTCTCCCTAGCACCCAGCGCAATGCAAATGCTCTATAGCTGCTCCCTTCCCTTCTAGATGGCGTAGTACAGAGCTAGGGGCGGCAAACTTTTTCCGTAAAGGTCCATATGGTAAATATCTGAGGCTTTTTTGGCCACATGTGTTTGTCACAACCACTTAAATCTGCTGTTGTAGTGAGAGAGCAGCCACAGACAACAGTACGTGAATGAATGGAGAGTGGCCGTGCTCCAGTGAAATCTTATTTCCAAAAGCAGGTAGCAGGCTGGAGCCAAATCCTTGTATCGTGTGTAGTCAGGTAGCTCTGTCTGCTTTTCATGTTATCTTCTCCTGCACTTCTTGTATACTCTTTCACCAAATCTTTATTTGCTGTTTGTGATGTGCAATGCATTCAGTTTTGTTACGGAGATTAAAAAAAGATGAGTAAGACAAGATACTCAAATCCCAGTATCTACTGGAATTTACTTTTAAAATTGGGTGGTGTTATCTATTTTACTTAAGTGTTTATTTAACATGTTTTTTTTTAAGATCGAAGTTTCTTCTGTTCATTCTTAGGTCAGTGCTTATTTGCATGATTGAATAAGTGGCTAGGGGGATTAAGATTGAGGATTAATTGGGATTAATTAATTAATAAGGATTAATAAGGGTTAAGATTCGTTCCAGTGACGGACATAGGCTGAGTCAGCAATATGTATCAGCTTCAAAATCGCTTGCCAGATGTCCTAACTTTGACCAGAGTAGTATTTCAAAATTAATACCTTCATTAGATATCATTAAGAAATTGGTTAATTGGGTTCTAGATAACGGTATGTTTGGAAAGAATTTTCTAATATGGGAGTCGTGTAACCTGGAGGACAGGCTCGAACGCGTCATGACACACGTCCTTGCAGTTTTAGGCCTCGTGCGTCTCTCTCCATTCGCTTTCAGTGTTTGCTGTTCCTAGCCGTTAGATGAGTGTTAAGATTGGTTCCAGTGGGCCCCAGATTGATCACTCTTGTGTTACTTAATAGTTTTCTAGGGCTGCTGTAACAAATTGCCACAAACTGGGTGGCTTAAAAACCACAAAATATGTGTTCTGACTTCTGGAAAGCAGAAACGTAGGCCTGTTTAAGAAGATTTACCTTCCATTTCCAATCTGTTAATATTCATGTCTTGCTTTGATTTTAACCCCATCCTAACCCTGTCTCAGTCTCTCACCCCTCTAATAGAATCTTGATAACACAAGCAAAAGGACCTTGCTAGACTTCAAACTTTAAATCCTACCATGCAGGATCTCTGTTGCCTAGGCTGGAACTCATAGGCTCAAGCGATCCTCCTTTCTCAGCCTCCCACATAGCTAGGACTATGGGTGTGCATCACTACACCTAGCTCCTTTTTTGTAGAAATGAGGTCTCGTTATGCTGCCCAGGCTGGTCTCGAACTCCTAGCCTCAAGTGATCCTCCTGCCTCTTGTTTCCCAAGGCACTGGAATTACAGTGCTTTTTTACTAACCTTTTTTACTAAAGTCTCCTAGTGTCAGCATCTATAAGATGACTTCTTATTTTTTTACATACTGTTATACCTGTTGTATCTCCTGCCTTTTGCACTCCCTCTGTGCTAAACTGTGGTTTCTTAAATGTGCTGGGGGCGGGGGGAGGGCCTCACTTTTTCTTACCTTTGCTTCTACTGTCCCCTTTTCTTGGGATGCCCTTCCATGTCTGTCCTCCCACTGTATCGTGGGATCCTACTGGGCTATTCTGGTCATCTTTGTATCCCCGTTCCTTATTGCATTCTAGACATTTAATAATGCTGAATACATTTTCTTGATAGAAAATCTCTTATTAAGCCTAGTTTTATTTCTTTTATGTGTGTGGTAAAATATACATAACATCAAATTGACCATTTTAACCATGTTTAAGTGTACAGTTCAGTGGAATTAAGTGAATTCACACTGTTGTACAACCATTACCACCATCCGTCTCTAGGGTTTTTTCATCTTCTCCAGATGAAACTCAGTCCAGTGTGGTGGCTCATGCCTGTAATCCCAACACTATGGGAGGCCAAGGTGGGAGGATCTCTTGAGTCCAGGAGTTTGAGACCAACCTGAACAAAATCAAGGCCTCATCTCTACCAAAAATAGAAAGAAATTATCTGGGCATGGTGGTGCGCACCTGTAGTCCCAGCTACTCGGGAGGCTGAGGCAGGAGCATCGCTTGAGTCCAGGAGTTTGAGGTTGCTGTGAGCTAGGCTGATGCCAGGGTACTCTAGTCCAGGCGAAAGAGCGAGACTGTGCCTTAAAAAAAGAGAGAAAAAAATCTTATTTAATCCTTGCATTGGAGTTAGGAGTTACTTCCATTTATAGTTGAGGATTTGAGGCTTGGAAAAGTGAATTAATCAAGGTCCTAACAGAAGTAGTCTCAAACCCTGACCTGCCCAATCTGACAAAGCCTAAGGCTGTCGTCACTCTGCTATGCTGACAGTAGTAGCACTGACACAAGGGGTTAGAAGGTTCAGGGAGTTGGAGGCAAGGCAGGTTCAATGCTGGTCGTCCTGTAAGAGATGCAACAGGTCCCTCATTGTTTTGACTCATTTGCTGTAAGTGAATCATGGAACAGATTTGTTCTGTATTGTCAGTTTTGCACATTATAAAGCATTTTTCCCTGTGTGGTTCTTGTTAACAAGCATGGTTTTTCTTTTTCTATCAGCTCTCTGGGGCCGAGTGCGCTGAAGACGATAGGAAGCGCGGCGTCAGTGAAACGGAAAGAACCTCCCCAGGGCTCAGCTCAGTCCAAGGAAAAGAAGAAAAAGAAATCCGCACTGGATGAGATCATGGAGGTACAGTTTGTGGGCTCCTTAGGAGCGTTTTAGCAATTAGAGGAATGATGTAATTCAAACCTAAGGAAACTTAAATAGCTTCACCCATTGTGAGATTAATATAGACTTAGAAAAATTTTCATGTACGGATTAGGGCATAGGAGCCTAGCTTCAGTTCCATCAGAACAGAGTTGGACCCCGCACCCCCACCAATACGTTTATTTTCTTGGCTCAAGAGCTGTCTTTGAAACGTTCCATGAAATTATGGTCCGCAGAGTTCAGTTAGAAATTGTGGTCCTCCATTGGTGCTCTCTCTCCTCCAGCTAGTACTCTCCTTTTGCCTCGGAATCCCACTGACATACTCCTAGCCAGCAAGAGAAAGTTCTGACAGCTTTTTCAATTGATCTAAACTGATGGCTGAGTTTATGTGATGAGTCATTGAAAACATATGATTATCTGGATTTAGGGCCAGACTTTGCCTCTAATCTACCCAAGACTCTGGAGTAATTCTGCAGAAAGTTCTTAATATTCTCCTAAGTATTCCTTTCCCCCTTCTAACACCCATAGCCTTACCTCATCAGTGAATTAACAAAATAAGTGGGAGAGAAGAAGAAGAAATCTGGGAGAAGAGAAAGGAAAAGTGAATACAAGAAGCTAAATGTTTTTGCTTTAATATCATTTCCTCTGTCCCCCCATCTCTTTTCTTCATTCTGAAGGGATGGGAAATAACTGTTTGCTCTTCTCTGTTACCAGCCCTCACGCCACGCAGGGCAGTCTAAAGAGCTTAAAGTATGAAACGAGGTTAATACGCTATGAAATGTCGTCATTTCATCATTCAGTCCGTACTGAGTCGCTGTTGTGTGCTGGGCATTGTGCAAGGTGCAGGATCTGTGTGGTAGGCACAAAAACGCAGTCCCTGTTTGTCACGGGCTTTCATTCTAGTGAGGGAGCCATTCAGTTAGCAAGCGAAGCAGTAAATGATGACAGAATGCTAAGGAGGTGGGAGGGAACTTGCAAGGTGCCAGGCAGGAAAGATCACCCCTCAGAAGGAGCGTGTGACTGGAGTGCAGTGAGCGCGTGGTGGCAGCGTCTGAGGTTGAAGAGAGCAGGGGGGACAGCACCATTTCTTACACGTCATGGCAGGGGTTTTTTAAGATTTAATTTGAAGTAAAATGGAAAGTCAGATCTACCTTTTGAATATGATGCAAACTAAATGCATACTAAATTTAGAACAGTGTTTATTCATATTGGAAAGCTGAAGGATTTAAAATGAAGTTTAGAACCAACCAAAGAATGAGGTTGTTGATCCCATCAAAAGTTGGTACTTCGGGTTAACTGTAAAGCAGTTGAGAAGGAAAACGTTAAGATGTATCGTCATCGTGGCCGGACGCCGCTTTTATCTTTTGGTCACTCTTATTTGTGTCTCTCAGTGGTATTGTTCTTCTCTTTCACTCATGAGCTTTATTATCATTCCCAAACAGGGCCCCTCTTGTTTGCCATCACACTGTATTTCTAAGGGCGCTGTGCGAGATTGGTGCATGTGTTAGGTTTTACATGAAAACGTAGCCTGTTTTCTAACTTCTGATAGTCAAAGCAGGCAAGCATGGTATGGTGCTGGCCGATGGTCTTGCAGTATTGGGTGAATAGCGGTGATTTTGTTTGCTTTCTTTCTGTTCAGTTGACTTGCTTTATCACATATTTTTTAAAATCCAAGGTTTTTTTTAAAATCAAAAACTAATTATAAATAATGTTTATTTGTATTTATATTTATCAGAGCTTGTAAATTAGCAAAGATCCTTGGTCTTCTGTGAAGTATGTGTCTTATAGTGTTATTTTGCTAAATAGAATAGTATTTTGAAGTAAACTGAAGATTTTAAAGAGATGATTTTAAGAATGTCTTCTGTGTTTACAGATTGAAGAGGAGAAGAAAAGAACTGCCCGAACAGATTACTGGCTACAGCCTGTGAGTATCCAGTTGGATTTTAAGTCCTAAATTTATGTTTAAGTGAATGATTTAAATAGCATTTGATATAAATAACGAAATTTCTCAAACATATCTAGCTTACACAGATAGGGTTAGTTATAATTTATAATGACTTTTCTTTCTATTGGGTCTTTAATTTTCGGTGGCAGTTGTGTTGGATGATTACTTTTGTTTATAGACCATTTATGTCCCACAAGGTTAGTGCTAAATTTGTGTATGGACATCTTGAATTTGAGCCTGGAATTTTCAATCTTTGCTGTGAGACAAAATGTTGTGTTTTCAGAAATGGGATTAAAAGGTAGAATTGTAATTGCTGAAGTAGTGGTTTTCAATTTATAGCTTATTGATCTTAGAACACCTATTTATGTACTTTGTAGAAAAAGGCAGGTTTTAGTTTTATAATCTCGAGGAAATTTTATATTTTATTGCTTATTATTTAAAATAATAAGTTAAAATTGTTTTTAAGTATTTAATAGTTTTTAAATTACTATTTATTGATGCTCTATTTTGGACTTACTGAGACGAGAAGTTTTCATAAAACTTTCAGAGTGCCTTAGTTATTCTTAAAGAAGCTGGTTTGAACAATAATAGGGGAGTGTAAAATAATATATCATTTCGAGAATTTCTGATTTGAGAAATAAGATTGAAAGTTGAGAAGTCCAGGATTCTAATTCAAGTCTTCATAGTCATTCTTCTACGAGCGTGAAAATAAGTTAGTTTCCATGTTTTAGTCTGTCTTCTTATGCAGAGGGAAGCATTTCCACAGGTGATCGCGTGAAGAATCGTGAAATAAGTTATCTAAGGTGAAAACACTTGCTGTGTTAAATAGAAAATAAGCACTTTGTGTATGAATTATTTTAGTTAATTCTCCTAACAGCCCTATAAGGTCATTACTGTTATTGTTGCCATTTTATAGGTTAAAAAAAAAATGGGGGACACAAAGTAGAATAATTTCCCCAAGGTCATTTGGTAAGTGGTGAGTGAGGGTGTCCCTGGCAGTCAGATTCTATAGGCTGTGCTCTGAACAACCGCACGGTGCTGCCTTCTGCTGTGCGTTAGGCAGCCTGACGTCCTGCTCTGTGAGTGGAATTTTGGGCCCTGGTTGACTCAGGGATATCTCATGGAATAGAAAAATCTAGTTTTTGTACAGGAAAGATCTGTAGGAAAAAACCACAGGCGAATTATTTTGATTCGGTTTCCCTATTAGAGTAGCTGGTGTTTGAATAGTTAATAGTTTCATATATTGTTTATTAAAATGTAATCAAGAATTTTGCTTAAAGCAGTGGTTCTTAACCAGAGAATAATTCAAAATTTCTTAGAGAGTTGTAAAGAATCAATTTCATATTGGCACCCTAAGGTTTATATTCTTTCCAATTGTAGGAAAAAGAATTCTAGTTTTAAATGGAGGTTACAGAGGAAATGAAGGTACCTTAGAGTCCATCAATGAGAAGACTTTTTCAGCTACTATAGTCATTGAAACTGTAAGTTTGTTTACACAAAGACAGAAATTTCAAAATGTACCATAGTTTGTTTATTTTTAGATTGGACTGCTCTTTGTTTTATTTTAGAATTTGGGGTTTTTGTGTGCCTTCTTTCCTATTTGGAAATCAGTAATCTTATTTTCTCCAATGATTCTGTCATTGCTAAAGCATTTTCTTTTCCAATTACAAAAGAAATCTGTGCTTATTGTATAAAACCTGAAAAATATAATTTTTAAATTTCCCATTGTCCCCCAGCCTGACAATAACCCCCATTAATATTTTGGTCTATTCTTTTCCAGTCTCTGTGTTTTATAAAATTATATACAAGATGTACAGTTTTCTATCCTGAGTTCCTCCCTCCACATTTAACATAAAACTCAATTGGCACGCAAATTAGTGGGGGGAAATGCAGTCGTAGTTAATGGGAAGGGAGCCACAGAGGTCAACCATTTTCCTAAATGTCCCCCCTTCTTCCATAAAGGATTTAAGGTAGCAGAGATCAATATAGTAATTTAAAAAGCACTGGCATAAAAGTAAAGTTGGGGGTTTTTTTTTTGAGGGTCTAGCTGCGTTGCCCAGGCTAGAGTGCAGTGTTGTTGTTTAGTGCAGTGGCCTTGTTACAGCCCACTGCAGCCTCAAACTCTCGGGCTCATGGGATCCTCCTGTCTCAGCTTTCTAAGTAGCTGGGACTACAGGTGCCACCACCACGCCGGCTAATCTTTCTATTTTTTCGTGGAAACTGGGTCTCACTTTGTTGCCCAGGCTGGTCTTCAACTCCTGGCCTCAAGTGATCGTCTGGCCTCAGCCTCCCAAAGTGCTAGGGTTACAAACGTGAGCTGTGTAGCCAGGAAGCAAGGATACGGAACAGCTAGGGAGCCTCTGCCCCAGTATCTGTTGATAACACGCTGTGAGTATCATTGAAGAAAATGTGGTATTAATAGTTCTAAGTGAGAATGCCATATATTATTTTTAAAATTTATATATATGTATGTATGTATGTGTGTATATATATATATATATATATATATATGGAAATGTTAACTACCTTAGTGGTGTTTTAGGGATATGGAAAAGGTAAATTTATATCTATAAGTGTGGTGTCATTTGTTTTTTCAGTACATGTGTTTGTAACCTCTTTTTAATTATTTTAATTTGTAGGGCCCTTTAAAAGGACGCAGAGTTGAAGGAATTCAATATGAAGACATTTCAAAACTTGCCTGAGTTTGAAAATTTGTCAACAACACATTAAAATCCTAAAACATCAAATTGGTGTTCGCCAAAGCATTATGAGACTCTACTGTGTTAGGGTATTCCTTTTGTATAAAAGAAATGGATTTTTGAAAATATAACTGTATAGTTGTTTAGCTAAACTTATAGAAAAATATAATTATGTCTCATGAACTATCAAAACTATGTAATTTTGCCCATGTTATATTCGTTTTCTTTGTAATATTTACTTAATGAGTTTTTATCTTCATTAAAGAATGTTATTGTAAAGTGTTTTATATAAGACAATTTAGAATCATATAATTTGAGGGAATCCTTCATATACACTCAAAATTTATATTTTTCAGTAGTAGAGTGGTAAAGTTGAACTTTAAATGTAATTAAATTTTAAAACATCAAACTATAAATATAATAGCTTTATGGTGATATAATTCATACGCCATACGGGCCACTCATTTAAATGTACAGTTCGGTGGTTTTTAGTATATTTGCAGGGTTGTGTAATCACCACTATCTGATTTTAGAAGGTTTTCACCACCCCAAAATGAAGCCCTGTATGCATAGTCAGTCCCTATCATGCCCTGTCTGCCCCAGCTGTGGGCAACCATTGATCTACTTTCCATCCCTATGGATTTGTGCTTTCTACACATTCCATATAAATGAAATCATATAATGTGTGATCTTTTCTGGCCGGCTCCACACCCTTAGCATCATGTTTTCAAGGTTCATCCATGTTATAGCTTGTAGGAGCTACTTCATTTGTCTTTACTACTAAATAATATTCCATTGTATGGAGGGACTATATTTTGTTTTTCTGCTCATCAGTTGATGAACATTTGGGTTGTTTCTACTTTTTTGGCTTCCGTGGCTAATGCTGCAATGAACATCCGTGTACAAGATTTTGTGTGAACGTGTCTTTCAGTTCTACCAAACGGTTTTCCGAAGTGGTTGCACCATTTTACAATCCCGCAAGTAATGTCGAACTGTACAGTTCTAAGTAAGTAGAGCAATATGGTATTTTGGGATGCCAAGGCCACCTCACACTTGTTTATGCCACAGGAAAACAGAAGGAGGGACAGGTACTAGCTACAGGGCAGTGGGACCCGAGTGTGGACAGTCTCTTCAGGATTGTTCTCTTCTGTCTCGGGCTTCCTGTGCTGGCTCCAATCTTGGACACTCTAGGTTCACGTTCTAGAACTTTCAAACCAAAGGCCTGAGATTGACTCTTGTTGCACCAGAGCTGGACAAATCTCTCTGAACACAAGGATGGGAATATGCTAACCCTCTACCCCCATCTCTCCTGGACTGAGAGTGGGGGAGGTGCTGATAACATGTGCTGCTGGCAGAAACATAAGAGGCAGTATAAGAAATGCTAATAGGATGTCAGTAGCTTTACAGAAAATGTTCTTTAAGGATGAATTAAGTAAGGTTTTCCAAAATAGACAGCATAGTGTGGAAAGCAACTAGGTTTTAAAGTTGGGCAGTCTTCAGTTTAAATTGTGGCAGTTCTGTTCACTAGCTACGTAATCTTAGAACGTTAATGTTCTTGAACTGCAATGTTCTTAATGTACAAATTGTCAAAAAGGACGTGTCCCTGCAGGGTTGACGTGAGAACTACAGAAAATACACACAAAGTGTCAGGCATAAGTCTTGGCACGTGGTAGGTGTTTGATAACTGGCAGTGTTGGAGATGGAGCCCAGCCGTTGGTCCTGGCCTGGGAAGTCTCAATAAGAATAATAATAATAAATAACATTGTGAGTAAACATGGCAAATTCTGTATGCCTCCCCCAGTCCGTAAGTTTGGAGTCAACACTAGTTTTCTTCGGAGGAAAAATGTTTCACGTCCACCCCCCACATTTAATTCTTTTCTCCAACATCTCCCTGAAATTATCTCAGAAAGAGATAAAGTAGAGTAATTGAGGTTAAATTCAACAAAGTATATTCAAAGCATGACAGTATGATTCTAGACTGTGGAGCATTTTTTCTCCTCTGAGTTCATAGAGCCCAGTGGTGGTTATGTTAGACGAGATGACTATAGACAACTAAAATCAGGTCTTATGTTGACTTTTATTTTTGAGGCATCATAAACTATTTTTCCTTTTTTAAAAATAGACTTTTTAGAGCAGTTTCTACGGGATAGGACAAATGTATGATGACATGTATCCACGATTATGATATCGTACAGAGTAGTTTCCCCGTCCTAGAAGTCCCTTGTACTCTTGTCTGTCCCATCCCTCCCCCCAAGTACCTGGCAACTACTGATCTATTTACTGATTCCATAGTTTTGCCTTTTCCAGAATGCCATATAGTTGGAATCCTACGGTATGTGGCTTTTTCAGATTAGCTCCTTTTACATAGTAACACGCATTTAAGGTTCCTCCATGTTTTTGTTTGTTTGTTTGTGGCTTGATTGCTCCTATCTCCTGATTAGCACTGAATAATATTCTACTCTGAATGTGCCACAGTTTATTTTTCCATTCACCTACTGAAGGACATCTTAGTTGCTTCCAAGTTTTGGAAATTGTGAATAAAGCTGCCATAACATCTATGTGCCAGGTTTTTCTATGGATGTGAGTTTTTGACTCACTTAGGTAAAATACCAAGGAATACATTTGTTGGATCATATGGTTAAGAGTATGGTTGTTAAGTAATGAACAGACCCCTACCCGACTGTATTATGTCTTATGTGGAGAATGGTTATGTGAACAGAATGAGGTTCATCGGCTAAGGCCTTGGGATAATTCACTGTATGTGTCAACGTGACTGGGCCACAGGTGCCCAAATAGCTAGTCAGACATTGTTCTGGATGTTTCCGTGAGGGTGTTTTTGGGTGAGGTTAACATGTAAATTGGTGGGCTTCAGTAAAGCAGATCACCCTCCCTAGAGTGGGGGGGCCTCGTCCGATCGTAGAAGAGAAAGGCTGACCTCCCCCAGGGAAGAGGGACTTCATCTCAGGGTCTCCTGTACCTCTGGTCCACACTGCACAGTTTGGACTTACAGCCTCTGTATTCACATGAGCCAATCCTTGCAATTAATCGTCTGGTTCTGTTTTTCTACAGAACTGTGACTAATCCAGGCCTCATGAACTAAAAAGAGTCTTGGGCCAACACTGGGAAGAGAATCTTGGCTCAGAGTATTGGGCCATCACAGGTAACTTTGTGTTACAGCTATCCTAGCTCTCCCTATGGCAGGTGACAGGGGTGTAGTGTAAATCTCTATACAGCAACTAAGTTCAAGTAACCTCTCCTGTTCCTAGTCCACACTCACCAAATAACCTCTCACAGCTGAACTTCCCACATATAACTAACAGTGTAAAAATGCACTCGATCTGCAAGGTTTAGGACCTAAGGCTCAACAGCAGCAAAATTTGGTGTTTTTGTTGTTGTTTTGTTTTATTTATTTATTTATTTATTGAGACAGAGTCTTGCTTTGTTGCCCAGGATAGAGTGAGTGCCGTGGTGTCAGCCTAGCTCACAGCAACCTCAAACTCCTGGGTTCAAGCCATCCTGCCTCAGCCTCCCGAGTAGCTGTGACTACAGGCATGCGCCACCATGCCCGGCTAATTTTATATAATATTACTTGACCAATTAATTTTTTTATTTTTAGTAGAGACGGGGGTCTCGCCTTGCTCAGGCTGTTCGAACTCCTGACCTGGAGCAATCTGGCCACCTCGGCCTCCCAGAGTGCTAGGATTACAGGCGTGAGCCACCGCGCCCGGCCAACGGTAGCAAAATTTGATCGCAGTAAACGCTACATCTAGGGCTCAGTCCGGATGCCAGCTCGAAATGCCCAAGCAGCTTTCCTTCGCATCAGCTTGGTGAGCACACTTTAGCATCTGAAAACACGACAAAGTCCTAAAGCTTCTTTGCAAAATATTTATTTTCTTCAGATATGTTTATAGGCTTTAATAAACCACCATGATATCTGGTTGGCTTTAACTATCCAAACTGAAGCGTATCTGCAAAGGTGGCAGGGAAAGAAGGTATGTTTATACACACGATTTCCAAAACTCTAAACCTTCAAGGCCGTTTGAGAAAGCTATAGAGCTGAGGCACGAAGTAGTCCTTGTAATGTCCGTCGATGAAACCTTTTCCACTGTTGTGCACAAACCAGCAGGGGACGTCTGTCCCGAACACGATGTCCGTCCTGTAGTCTTTCTGTAAGCCCCTGCGGGAGAAACCACATGCATGGTTAGGGAACAGACCGCCGCACAGCTGGACGGGCACGTCTAGACAACAGGCACCCTCTGTCCCTCTTTGTGTCCCTTCTATCACCATATCTGCCCACCCCCCGTCATCCCTGCTCCCCAGGTTGTATGAAACATCAGAGCCCGGGGCTTAGTGTTGGAAGGACAGACAATAAGCCGTGTGTCCTTAGATAATTCAAATAATCCTGATACAGGTTGACCCAAACGGACTTTTCCGGTAAGGTTCAGAGCAACACATTAATGGATAGAAGGCAGGAACAGAACTCCGGATGTTGTAGTCCGGCCTCACACATGAGCTAAAGAATGAATCCGAGGCGCCTTCTTTTTTTTTTTTTTTTTTGAGACAGAGTCTCACTCTGTTGTCCCGGCTAGATGCGTGGCGTCAGCCTAGCTCACAGCAACCTCAACACTCCTGGGCTCAAACGATCCCTCCTGCCCTGGCCTCCCCAGGTAGCTGGGACTACAGGCATCCGCGCCACCATGCCGGCGGAATTTTTTCTATATATATTAGTTGGCCAATTAATTTTCTATTTATAGTAGAGACCGGGTCTCGCTCTTCGCTCAGGCTGGCTTCGAACTTCGATCCTCCCGCTCTGCCCTCCCGTGAGCCACGGTGCCCGACCTGGAGGCGTCTCTTGACTTCACTTTATGGGTAAGTGTTTTATTTAACAGTGGAGCCAGCTGTTTTGGAGCAACTCACATCCTCCACTTGAAGGACAGAGAAGCCAATGATTCGCAAAGGTGTTCGGCACTTTGCCATTAATGAGCCTAACAGGGACGTAACTACACAGCTCAAGGTCAACTGAGTTTCAGTTAAGCATCATCGTCAGGTGCTTGAAGAAGATGAAACTGAGGCTCAGCATTTACTTTTTAGAGTACAGAAAGATGCCGTTTTTCCACGCATAAAAGAGCGTTTATTTTAGCCACTCGTCTCACTGTTCCGCTTCCACTTGCCGCCGCCGGCGCGGTCTGCCTGCTACACGCACGACGTGGCGCGCTCGATGGGCCTGCACCGCACCGTGGGCCTCACTGCTCTCTATAAACCCATGCCAGCTGAGTGCCACATGCTCTAAGAATCCATCGTTTCAGCTCACGAGTCTACTTTGGTGGCGGGACCTATTATTGTCATTTTAAGGTTTAAGTGTCATCATTTTCTTCTCCCTTCTATTGTGCTGCTGGAGTCCAGTTCTCCCAGAGCCCCTTTCGGTGGCTGTCTCATGCACCCGAGCCCCACCTGCTGACGGTCAACTTCTGCCCCTTCACCTCCATGCTGGCCTCTGGCTTCTGGGGGTCCTTTCCGGGTCTCTCGTTGAAGATGTGTATCTCAGGCTCCTGCATGAACTGGCCTAGCAGGACAGAACCCACACACTTAACTTCCGTGTAATCCCATGCCGAACAGAAAGACAGGCTTGCCGCTCCATGCAAGCTACATTTTGGGCCTCCCTCCAGAAATTCCAGGGTAGAAGGACAAGTCAAGAAAGACGAGGAGAGAGGAAAAAGGAGCGGTGATTTGCTCCTCCTTCCTGAGAGCACCAACTTATTGTGCACATGAGGTTGCTCCGTCTAAGGGACCATTAGTAAATTCGCCACCCTGCCAGCAGGGGGCGAGTTTAGCCCTTGAGAGCACAGCTCAAAGGAGGGACTAGGTTTGTTTGTGATGTCACATGCTTATGTTTGAGCCCTTCTTAAAACACATTAGGGGCAGTTGCCCAGGAGGCTCTTGGACTTCCCAAACCAGTTCACTTCTCTTCAGTTAGGAAAAAATTTTCAGCATAAACCTTAAAAATGTATCTGTCATGCCGAAATAAAAAAAGAAAAAAATAAAATATAAATAAATAAATAAATATTCAAAAAAAAATGGACTTTCCTAAAAAAAAAAAAATGTATCTGTCATACTTGTGATAACTTGCCCCACTTGTGATGCTGAAACCGGCTACGCTCCTGAACCGCCCCGCCGGGGCTGCCGTGGCCGTCCCGTGGGCCGTGGATTTTCGCACCTGCCACTCTCCCAGCTTCTAGCCACCGCCACGCAGAGTTGCTGGAGTCCCAGAGCGGCCCCGCCCTCGCTGGATGGCTGATGGACATCTTACCTATTAAGCCGTGGGCCTTGGGCGAGAGCTTGTCCGTGGGGGGAATGTAGATTCCCAGAAAGTCCACGTTAACCGGGTGCTTCTTCCACACCCGATGCAGCAAAACCGAGAAGGACACCTCGTCGTCCAGGGTGATGGTCACGGTCTTTTCTTTCTTCACTGAGATAACCACCCTGGTGGGAAAGTCCAGATGGCATCAGACAATTCCAGAACAGAACTTTCTAGAAAGTCTCTTCTTCTCACCCCCGAAACGACCTCTCCCTTCCTCCCACTAGTTTTCCAAGAGCTTTATTTGCAGCGTGTTTGCTACAGAATGTTGTCGTTATAACTCCCAGCTCTAAAATTCTGTCAGTGTGCATGGGTGTGGGTAAGCACTCGGATACTACCGTGTTTCCCTGAAAATAAGACAGGGTCTTATATTTATTTTTCCTCAAGAAGACACCCAAGGGCAGGCGTCCTCAAACTATGGCCCGCGGGCCACATGCGGCCCACTGAGGACATTTATCCGGCCCGCCGGGTGTTTTTGCCACCGCTGCCTGTCCTGCTTAGCAGCCGACTCGTCCCGGGCCCACACTTTCCAACGGTCTGAGGGACAGTGAACTGGTCCCCTGTTTAAAAAGTTTGAGGACCCTGCCCTAGGGCTTATTTTCAGGGGATGCGTTGTTTTTTTTTAAGTACGGTGCAACCATCTACATTGATTCCAATAGAGTTAAGTCGTCGTCTTCTGGAACATCATCCTAACTCTCCAAACCCCGAATCCCATCCTGGATTTCTCCTGACTCTATTTCCTTTAGAATCATTGGCCCCAGTCTCTCCTGTCGAGCACTAGAGCTCTCATGGGGCAGAGAAGGGCTGCTCCTCTTCTTTCCCGCTCTGCGACGACACGCATGGGTTGTGCAGATGCGCTGCGCAGCCACGCCCGTCGCTAGGGCTTATTTTTGGGGTGGGGCTTCTATTGCGCACGTGCTTAGCAATCCTGCTAGGGCTTATTTTATGGGTAGGTCTTATTTTCAGGGTAGGGCTTCTATTGCGCAAATGTTTAGAAATCCTGGTAGGTCTTATTTCCGGGGAAACACAGTAACTGGGAGGATGCTCCTCATAAGACACAATCCTAGTGTTTGGAGGACCCCGCCCCCCCCAAGTCAAGTCAGCTAGGGTTCAGGTAACAGATTCGGTCACTGAACTGACACATGTGTCTTGGTGCTAACTGATGCCAGGCACTGGACTAGGCCTGAGACACAACCGTGACCAAAGCCACTGACCCTGCTGCCAGGAACATGGTATGTTTTTCTGAATCCCAACTGCTTTATGTTTAAAACGATTTCAAGTTCTATGCTGATGTCACTGATGCCTGGATTGATCCATGCAGTTGTGTGTCAGGGACAGGCCTGGACGCCGATGGAATAGCACTTGCCTCTGATTGATGACTCGGGCCGTGTCAGACCAGGTCAAGACAGACGTGCGGGACTTCCAGCTCAGGGCGACAGTCTCTGTGCTGACTTCTATTTTCATGTCTTCCTTCTGGAAGTAAAACCCCAATTTTCCGAAATAGGTGCTTAGTTTTCCATGATTGGGCTTCTTGGCACCAATGAGCTGACCATTGACTAAAATTCCTACAGAAAAGAAAAATGTTTTTCTCTCTTGTGTACCATGTTTTTCTTTTTTCTTTTTTTTGCACATGTGGGCACCAAAATTCAAATTTGATAAATTTGACAATATGAGAAAATGGATTATTATTTTGTTTCAGGATTTACATAACATTTTTTTTCTTCTCTGGCTGCTTTAAAAATATATGTATTCAGAGGCATCATCTTGCTCACAGCAACCTCAAACTCCTGGGCTCAAGCAATCCTTCTGCCTCAGCCTCCCAAGTAGTTGGGACTACAGGCATGCGCCACCATGCCCGGCTAGTTTTTTTCTATATATATTAGTTGGCCAATTAATTTCTTTCTATTTATAGTAGAGACGGGGTCTCGCTCTTGCTCAGGCTGGTTTCGAACTCCTGACCTCGAGCAATCCGCCCGCCTCGGCCTCCCAGAGTGCTAGGATTACAGGCGTGAGCCACCGCGCCTGGCTATGACTGTGTTTAAATTGATTATATCACAACAAGATCTGCTAGTTCATGCTCAGAGAGAGTATATATTTTGAACTCTAATTGTATAGTTGTATACAATTGTACAATTGAACTATAATTGCTCAAAATAGATACATATGTAATTTAATCCTCACTAATATCAGAATTTGGAAAATAAAGAACTTCAATTAAGGTGAGAAAGAAAGAAATCCCAGGTAGTGACAGGGAAGCATGACAACAATCCAATTGTCTAATTCGAATATAATTTTCTTTTTATTTTACCTGATTCTGGATCAGAAACCAGGTTGAGGATTTTTCCAGGTTCTGAGTCGATATTGAAACAAATGTTATTTTGGCTTTTGGGCAGGTAAATGATGAAATGGGGGTCATTCTCAACTGGAAAATGAAAACAAACAAAATCAGAAAGAAAGGAAGATAATTTTGTACAGTATTTTGCTCCCGAACACCTTTATTTAGCCAGAACAAATATTTATTTGTGCGTCTACTATGTGCCAGTGACTGTCCCAGGCACGGGGGACTCAGTGGCTCCTACCCTGTCATCCCTCCTTCAGGGAGCCTCCATTAGCACTTTATTTTATTTCACAAACACAGCGGATATTTATTCTGTAGTTATCATGTATGTACTAAGCTATACTAAGCTAGATACTAGAGATAAAAAATAGGAAACCCATAAGTAATAAGAAACACACACCCGCACATATATAAGATATAGAGAGAGACAGATAAATAGAAATGTATTTTTTTAAGGAGCCGTATATGGTGCAGAACAATAAAAGTGACATATTGTTGACATACGGATTAATATTAAGCAATTCCAATAGCAATGAAGAATCAAGCTAGTCCCAAGAAATGACTGCTTTGTTATTGAACCTGATTATCCAGCTAATCCTTCCTTGTCTTTTTGTTTAATTCCATGCAACCATTCAACAAATATTTGGTGAAGGGGGGAAAAAAAAACCTACATGCAAAACACTAAATTAGGCAATGTTTGGTGCAGCTATGAATACGTCATGTTCTGCACCTTCAAGAAAGTAATACTTCAGTGCAGGACGCAGTGAGACCACTAATGTGAGATAGAAGCACAGTAATGGCCCGAGCCACGTGCCATGGGAATGGAGATGGGTCAGCGCCCCGGGCAGACTGCGCAAGGGCGTGTGAGGGAGAGAGCTGGCTTTTGAACTAAATCTTACAGGAGAGAAAAGGAAAAGACAGAAGACACAGGAGAGAGAGAGAGATTTTATTCTGAGTGAACAGAATCAGAAAGGTATAAAGGTAGAACAGTTCATGATTTGTTTAGAAAGTAAGACAATGTGACCAGAATATAGATTCTCAGCGAATGCAGAAAAAAGAGAAGACTAAAAATGTAGATCATCAAGACGCTGAAACCCCAAAGAATGGGACATCATTCTCTTGGGTAGGATCCACCATGCCCAGCTAGCTGCTCCTAATCTTTAATAATAACATCCATTTCTTGAACGATTGCTGTGTGCTAGCACTTCAGAGATGGCTTCGCAAGTAATCTACACCCTAGCTACCAACAGGTATATACGCATCACCATGCCTACTTTCAGGATGAAGGAAGTGAAGTGCAGAAACATTAAGTAACTTGCTCAAGTCCACACTGATGGTGTGAACTCCAGGGAGAAGGTTCTTTCCCCTGATACCCCACTGGCCCTTCCGCGTGAGAGGAGCACATCCTCCGTGCCAGAGGGTTCACCCCGTACCATTAGGAAAGGGTGCTATGGACTCAATTGTCCCCCTCAAAATCCATACGCTGAAGCCCCGACCCTTAGTGTGGTGGTATTTGGAGATGGAGCCTTCGGAGGTGAGTAGATGAGGTCATGAGAGTGATGTCCTCATGATGGGGTCTGTGCCCTTATAAGAAGAGAACCCAGAGAACTCTTTCTCTCTCTCTCTGTCACCCCATAGACACACAAAGAAGAGGTAGTATGAGCACCCAGTGAGGTGGTGGCCCCTACGAGCCAAGAAAAGAGCCCTCAGGAGGAAACCTACCTCATCAGCACCTTGACCTTGGACTTCCCAGCCTCCAGAACCGTGAGAAACAAATGTCTTATTGTTTAAACCCCCCAGCCCGTGGTACTTTGGTATATAGCAGCCCCAGCAGACTAATGCATGGAGCTGTCTTCTCCCACTGCCTGTAAAAGTCACCTAGTTTACCAGGACACAGTGATGATTGCATGAACACACACAAACGCCTCCCGGAATTACGATCCGTTGAGCTCAGAGGCGTGCAGTGTGGACACCGGTCTCTTACCTCTTATCACATGTGGCGGCGGCGTGGACTCCAGCACCCGAGCCCCCTGCGCGGGCATCGGAATCACTGGCGTTGGCGAAGGGTTGGCCCAAGACGGGATGGAGCCCGGGGCCACTTTGCTGCCGTAATACAGGGCACCTGCGCAGGAAGACCTGCATCTGTTAGTTTCCAGGTTTACGCTTCTATGGAAATCGCCTACAATTTCGAGAATCTTGTTTTGTGCGGCCCCTGGAGGCTGTCAGCTGAGGGTTTCTTCCCTATTTTTGTTCCAGAGTTCTCTCTCTTCTCTGGTTCCCTCTGGCATTGCACAGGAGGTCCCGAGATACGGGTCTCTCTGTAGCTTGGAACCTGAGCAAGGGTGCACGGGGGGAGCCGCTGTGTAGAGCTGGGGGAGGGCCTCGTGCCTTCAGCCTAAGCCGGAAGACAACGCCCAGGGGAAGTCCTAGGTCATTGAGGGCATCTTCCCCAATCTGTCCCTACTCACCAAACAACAGCTGAACAATTTAATTTCCCAAAGCAGCTCCTCTACTGGTAAGAGACTTTGCATCAACCCTGGGGAACTGGCACAGAGAAATTGACCAGACAGCAGAAAGCAAAGCAAAATAAACCTTTTTGTGTCATGTAAAATCCCCTAGATCGATCTATCTATGAGGCTCCCGGCTGCTGTAACTGGGACGTCAGAAGCCAGGGTTCCCTGAACCCTGGGCCAGTGCGGTCAACTTGGCAACACCCTGGGCTGAAATTAAAAATGGCGAAAACGATCCCTTCGTTGTGTGAAGCTCATTCTTGAGGATCTGTTTGCATTGGACCAGTCCCTAACAAAGCCAAGGAAAGGTCTAATGAACTGGAGGTTTCTAGCCTTGACTATGTGCCTCCTTGGGCGTGCTTGCAAACTTCCTACAGGACACAGAGAGCATGAATTGCTTTTAAGGCAATTTTTAGATCCTCAGCCTCCACCTATACTCTTTCCTAAGGAAGCCCCTTCCTCCTAGTGTACAAACAGAAGGCAAGCTCTTCCCCGCCCTCCCCTCACCAACAGGCTCCGAGGAGCTAAAGCAGCCGTCCAAAAAAACAAAAAACATACAAACCGAACGACTCTAAAGACGGGGTAACAAATCTTTTGGCAAGTCAAATAGACGGTTTCCAATTCTTTGCTTTCAACAAAACTGGAAAAGGGCTCAAGTTGTCAGCCGATCAGAATGTTCTGAGTGCTAGATCCATATGTGAGTTTTGGCATATAAATTCAAAAGAGTTCAGATAAGTGAGTAATGTCACTATAAACAAGCTCTCTCCAGTTCTATTTATCTATATCAACAGTGTTTATTGGGACTCGTGCCTATAAAGATTATTTTAAAAGTAAAATTGATGCTGAATCTTGTCTCTTTCAATCTATCCATACATAATAATTACCCATGGGTGTGTGAAAAAACGCTCAGCCACATTTTTCTCAATAAGAGATCATTTCCAACCAAATTGTACTTACATCAAAATTAGTGATAAATTGATATTGTTTGGATCACTTGACTACTAGTAGTAATTTCAATAAAACTCAATCCAGAGGAGAATTTTGATCACTCAGAGTTTTATGGTCATGATTTTTAAACTTAAAATATTTTTAAATTAAAATTTAAAAGTGTAAGCATTATTCTTCTTGCAGAGAAGCAGGGTGATCATTAAAGAACATGCAAAAATATATTACATTAGGATATAGTTCTCTATTGGGAAGGTAGAATGGAAATACAAGTTAAACTAGAAAAAGAACAATATAAAATTTCCAACAATTAATACAGAATTTGTTCATGTATTTTTTTTAAATGAATGATGGCATGTGTATCAAATTAGGTATCCTGTTTCATTGGCTATATTTAAAAGAGTGATGTAACCTTTGTTTTTTAAAATATCAATATTTACAATATTCCAGAAATTATATATGCTGAAACTATCTAAAGAAGCTGAAAATTATGTCGATTTAAAAAAATGTCAGATGGGGGGTTGTACATAGTTTTTTTTTTTTTTTTTTTTTTTTGAGACAGAGTCTCACTTTGTTGCCCGGGCTAGAGTGCCGTGGCGTCAGCCTAGCTCACAGCAACCTCCCACTCCTGGGCTCAAGCGATCCTCCTGCCTCAGCTTCCCGAGTAGCTGGGATGACAGGCATGCGCCACCACGCCTGGCTAATTTTTTTCTATGTATTTTTAGCTGGCCAAATTAATTTCTTTCTATTTTTTAGTAGAATCGGGGGGGTCTCGCTCTTGCTCAAGCTGGTCTCGAACTCCTGACCTTGAGCGATCCTCCCGCCTGGGCCTCCCAGAGTGCTAGGATTGCAGGCGTGAGCCACCACGCCCGGCCAGCAATACAGTTTTTATGCTGGAGAGCCGACACACAGCTCGGCGGAGAAGCTGGAGGTGACATGGGTGAGCTCTGGGGAGCCCTGCCTCAGGGGAGGTCAAAATCGCATCACGGCGAATTTCTCATTGGAAAATAACCTGTTTTCGGGAGTAAATGCAAATGAACCACTGATGCACATGGCAACACGGGTGACTCTCTCGGACGTCGTATTGAGTGACAGAAGCTAGAAGCGAAAGAGTACAGATGGACCGATGATGTGAAATTTAGTAAGGGGCAAAACTAATTAATGGTGGCGGATGTCGCAATAGCGGTGTCCGCTGGAGGCGGTGGGTGTTGGCTGGGAAGGAGAACAGGTGACCCTTGGAAGGGTCTACACCTGGATCTGGGTGTTAACTGCACGGGTGACGTATGCAGACATTCATTAAGCTGCACACGTAAAATCCACGCACTTGACACACCTTACTGTAGGTTATTATTTGTCATATATCTCAATAAAAAAGAAGCAAGAGTGAACCCAGCTTCAGCTAAAGTGTCTGGAAGAACCAGAGGAAGTGAATGATATCCAAACCTATATTCATTCGCTGCCTTTCTCGGTTCTAAACTCTTGTGTGTGTGTGTGTGTGTGTGTGTGTGGCGTCAACTGTTCAAGGCGAACATTTCACCTGTTCAAACCCCCGCGGCGTGCACGCTCTTCTCGGCTTACCGCTCGGCCAGCAGTTGGTTGATGGTTAGATAGGCCCACAGTTTCCGGGTGAAATCGGGGTCTGCGTGCTTGTCTTTGGACAGAAAATCCTGCAAGTCGTCCATCTGGGCCAGCGTTTCCAAGACCAGCTCCGTGCTCGCCTAGACGGCGGGGAGGTTGCATTGCAAGACACGGGAGGGAGACAGGGTTATGGTTAGTGCATGCGCGTGCGTAGCACTTGCTGCAGACGAACGGGAATGCGGGAGGAACGGAACACCGAGCCTTCGCCTGCCTCCACTGAGGACGGAAATGCACACCTTGGGCTTGGGCTCGGGGAGCAGGTGAGGATTTACAGACTGGCTGGGAAGACGGCAGAGATAGCCTCATGCCTTCTTCACGTGTTGCTTTGAGGCCACACACGTGACTCTGGGAAGGCGGGGGTAACACACAACGTGGACTGTAAATGGTCGTACCGACGTGGCCGTGATAATGCCCTGTAGTTGCTCCAGTTTATCGGGGTCGAATTTTCCTGCCACCACAATCTCCGAACCCCCAAAGTAGTTATGGAAACTGTTTTGGGTGACATCTGTGACTGACGTGTGCGGATAGTTGAACTGAACATTGCGGAGAAGTGGAGTAGAGACCTGGTTGTAGAATTTCTACAATTCATTAAAAGAGAGAGAGAGAGAAGTCATTATTTTCATGCCATTTTGTAGGTCTAAAGCATTTTTTTCCTGAGATTCTTCAAATGCTCAGCAGATACCTCTTAATTTATTCTCACGGGACCTCTGGGACAAGAATAATTGCTCATAAATTATCAGGAAAAACGGAGACAGAGGATAAAGGCTTGTGAAGAATATTACCCTTGACTTAAGAGCCCAGCATTTTTGTTTTCTATTCTGTTATGATCAGCATAAAAAGTTTATGGACACTCATGATAATATTCAACGACGAAACCAGCCTGAGCAAGAGCGAGACCCCGTCTCTACTATAAATAAATAGAAATTAATTGGCCAACTAATATATATAGAAAAAAATTAGCCGGGCATGGTGGCGCATGCCTGTAGTCCCAGCTACTCGGGAGGCTGAGGCAGGAGGATCGCTTGAGCCCAGGAGTTTGAGGTTGCTGTGAGCTAGACTGACGCCACGGCACTTGCTCTAGCCTGGGCAACAAAGCGAGACTCTGTCTCCAAAAAAAATATCAACGGGTCAATATTCCTCACATTAGAACCTTGTCCCTTACCTGTCCCCAAGTTTAAATACAGTGCCTGGCACTGACAAAAGGCAGGGGAAAAGGCATGTTCTTCTTTCCCTAGAGCGTTTTCTTGTGCATTTGTTCCAAATTAACAAGTAATTTGTGTCTTTTATATTTAAGGAATCTTACAGGCCATAGTTTGATCTGTTTTACATGTTAAAAAAACTGCTTACCCAAGATGACAATGCACCCTTAAAGGGAAAACCAGCAGCCAGGATGACAGGGAGACCAAGTGCTCAGGGGGACGGGAAACCTACAAGGGGCTCTGATGGAGCCTCAGGAGACTTTTTGTTCCAGGGCATAGGGAAGCGCGTCTGCCCTGTTAGTGCAGAAATACGCACGAGAGACGGGGAAATGCACAAGAAAGGAATGGGACGCTGCCCTGATTCTTGCGACCGGATATGGCTGAAATAATGGCAATTTGGGGTCATGATCCAGCCGCCTTCTTTTAAGCGTCAGATGTGGGTAGTTAGATGATTTTCAGCACAGCGAAGGAAAGAACAGAAAGTCACCTTAAGCTGGGAAGACGTGTCCTGGTTCCCGTAAATCCGCTGAGCGATCCCCCGGTTTTCGTTGGACAGTCTCTTCAAAAAGTCGTAGTCAACGTCAAATCCCATGCCCAGGCTGAACAAGGAGATATTGTCTTGTATGCTCTGCTTCACGTTTTTCTGGATTTTGGACAATTTTACTTCACCTGAAGTTGGGGATGGCAGAGGGGAAAGGGAAGAAGAAGCCATAGGGTATAACGTTTTTGGAAGGATCCAAGAAGGGCAGTTTAGCAAAACGCGTCGGCATTTAAAAGGCAGGAGCTATCTCTGGGAAGACACGCAGGAAACTGGTAACCGGAGACCGACCCCGGGGACAGGAGCTGGATGGTTGAGGAACAGGAGTGAGAAGCAGACTTAATTTTTTTTTTTTTTAAGCATATTTCCTTTTCTGCTTTAAGCATATTTCCTTTGCATTTTAGAAGTAAAGTGAGCTGAGCGGGGAGACGTGGTATCCGCAGCAAATGCATAACCACGGCTCCTTCTGCTCCCGCTGTGAACAGAGCCAACAGCAGCGCTTGGTCTCCCTAGTGCTCCAGACGCCACTGTGGCCACTGCCCCCTGCATCTCCGTTCCCTGTGGCTGCGTCGGGCACGGGCGAGACAGGGTCCTCGTCTGCATGACAGCACACTCAGGCAACACGGCCCAGCGTTCGCTGCTGCTTCTAGTCGCCAGTGCAAAGACACGCATGCAACACACACACACAAATGCAGGCAGGTACAGGTAGGGGCTGTCGAAGCCATCTCGCAGGCAGGAAAGATGATTGACTTAGAGGCCGCCTCAGAGAGCAGTCGGCTCTCTAGCTGCAACTGGGGGGAAAGGTGGAGAAGAGCAGGGAGGTGTCACGGTGGCCCTGAGAGGCAGGACGGGGGACATTGGGGGGACAGCCCTCCTCATTTCATGCTTCCACACGCCTTTTTCATATACCTCAAGCCGAGGAAACAAATGCATTTCCCCAGCATGTATCCGCAGTCCTCACAACTCACTGTTGTTTTTGTTTTTTGTTTTTTTTTGAGACATGGTCTCGCTTTGTTGCCCAGGCTACATTGAGTGCCGTGGCGTCAGCCTCGCTCACAGCAACCTCAATCTCGTGGGCTCAAGCGATCCTCCTGCCTCAGCCTCCCGAGTAGCTGGGGCTACAGGCATGCGCCACCATGCCCGGCTCATTTTGTCTATATATATTTTTAGCTGTCCAAGTAATTTCTTTCTATTTTTAGTAGAGACGGGGTCTCGCTCTTGCTCAGGCTGGTTTCGAACTCCTGACCTCTAGCGATCCTCCCGCCTCGGCCTCCCAGAGTGCTAGGATGACAGGCAAGAACCACCGCGCCCGGCCTCCAGAGCCCTTTTCTAGGGAAGGTTGGGATGGTTAAAACCTGTGTGGGCTGGATTATGTGTCGTGCTTGCACCACAAACTTAGTAGTCGTCATTTACCAATAAAGGCATGATTGAAGGCAGCCCACTCTAGACCGTGCAAAGACCACCATGCTACGGCGCGACGCTGCTTACATGAACCACGGAAGCTTCTCTCTGGGCTTTCGACCAAACCCACTCACCTCCACTGGGCTGGATTTTCTCAATGTACCTCTTGGCGTCTTCGACCTGTGTTTTAGTAGCTGAAACCAGGTCATTTCTCCAGGTTCGGACGTTCTGGTTGAAATCAACCACAGAGAATTGGTCTTCCGCTCGTAGGTCATCCAATATGGTCTTCATTGCTTCCACTGTCTATTTCGAAAGAGAATGAAGGGTCTCTTTATATGAAGTCTAAGCCTAAGAAGAAGCTAGGAAGACCAGTCATTGATCCTGGTCATCCATCAAGTACTGGCTCAAGCTAAACTTCTTCTAGAAAACCTCTTAAACTCACCTCAGTCAACACAGACCTACCCTTCGCTTGATCTGAACATGTTATTATTGGCTCTTTTTTATTCTTTTCTTTTCTTTTTGAGACAGAGTCTTGTTCTAGACTAGAATGTTCCAGGCTAGAGCGCAGTGGCATCAGCACAGCTCACTGCAACCTCAAACTCCTGGCCTCAAGTGGTCCTCCTACCCCAGCCTCCCAAGTAGCTGGTTCTACAGGTGTGCACCACCAAGTCCAGCTAATTTTTCTATTTTTTTTTTTTCTAGACACAGATATCTCACATGTTGCTCAGGCTGTGTCTTGAACTCCTGGCCTCAAGCAATCCTCCCTCCTCGGCCTCCCGAAGTGCTGGGATTACAGGTGTGAGCCACCCACCTGACCTTCTTGTTGCTTAAACTTTTACTGCCTTATTTTGTTATGCACATATCGATTTAAAAGTTGCACGTGAACTATGGCAAGATATCAAAGTAAAACATTATGCCGAAGAACTGAAGGGGTATAAGAGTGATCGGAGGTGTGAGAGGAGGTGATGGAAGAGATGAAATTTTTCGAAGAGGTCAAAGAGACAGTTTTTCAAGGAAATTTTGGACGCAGAAGAGGAAAGAGAGGAAGAGAGGGAAGAGGAAGCCAGAAAGAGGGAGATGAGAAGGAAGAGAATTTTACGAGGGTAAAGATTGGGGTGCACGTTCTGTGAACGTGTAATAATCTCAAAACTTTGGGCGGAGTTCACACCCTCAGTCAGTAGCCACGGTCCCTGAATTTTCGCCCTGAAAGGGGAAGAGGAAAGATCAAACGTCGCATTTCGGGAAGGGATCCAAGAAGCCAGGGAGGGCCCCGCATTACCCCTGCAAACCAGGGGCATTTATTTACCTGTTTCATTTTAATCCCCCACATAGAACCGCTCACATCTATGACAAAGAGGATGTTTTTGGGAATCGGGTCCAGGTTTTCAGGAGCGAAGAAGTGCACAAAATATCCATTGAATACCTGAAAAACAGAAGATGTCTGTGAGCCAGATCCTGGCCGATGTTCAGAAGGTCGGGAGACGGGGGCCGGAGAGGAGAGGTGAGGAGGTGCGAGCTTGGCCGCCCGCCCGTCTCCCCTTCCCCTGCCTGCTCCCCTGTTCCTGTCCCGTGGGGGGCCGCGCCTTCCCAGCAGAGAGTCCACTCCACTGCACTCTGTGTCACCCGTCTTTATAGACAGCCTCTGCCGTGGTGTCATCATAGCTCCCTGCAGCCTCAACCTCCTGACCTCAAGAGATCCTCCCGCCTTGGCCTCCCAGAATGCTAGGATTATAGGCGTGAGCCACCTCGGCCTTATTTAGTTTTTTTTTTTTTTTTTTTTTTTTTTTGAGACAGAGTCCGCTTTGTGCCCAGGTAGAGTGAGTGCCGTGGGCGTCAGCCTGCTCACAGCATAACCTCCACCTCCTGGGCTCAAGGATCCTCCTGCCTCAGCCTCTCCGAAGTAAGCTGGACTACAGGCATGCGCCACCGATGCCCGCATTATTTATTTTGTCTATGTGTATTAGTTGCCAAAATTCTGTTCATAAGTAGAGACGGGGTTCGTTTGCTCAGCTGGTTTCAATCTGACCTGCAGCGTCCGCCTGCCTCGGCCTCCCAGAGTGCTAGGATTATAAGCGTGAGCAACCATGCCCGGCCTTATTTAGTTTTTATGGCATAAAAGGGATTGCCGGCCGGGTCGTGGCTCACGCTGTAATCTAGCTCTCTGGGAGCCGAGGCGGCGGATGCTCGAGCAGAAGTGAAACCAAGCCTGAGCAAAGCAGAGCGAGACCGCGTCTCTACTATAATAGGAAAAATTGGCCAATAAAAATAGATAAAAATCAGGCTGGCATGTGGCGCATCCTGCAGTCCGCAGCTACTCGGGAGGCTGAGGCGATGGATCACCGAGCCCAGGGAGTTGAGGTTGCTGTGAGCTAGGCTGACGCCACGGCACTCACTCTAGCCTGGGCAACAAAGTGATCTCTTCTCAAAAAAAAAAAAAAAAAAAAAAAGAAGAGGTTAGCAAACGTATTGAGGAACATCCATTTTCAGTGCTGCTCTCTGCAGCGTGCAACGCTTCCGCGCGCTGGTGGGTCAGCCTGGCGGTGGCGCTGCGTCCCTCTGCACTCACCTCGAGCTCCCCAGCCTTCTCCTCTCTGTTCACGCGTACACCACCACCAGCTCGCCGTCCACGGCGGTCTCCAGGCAGCTGGGGCATATCCTCTGCTGCTCCACCGTGGGCTTGAAGGACACGTGCGCCTGCAAAGGACAGGGGTGTCAGAGCCCCCGCCCCAGCCCTCTCGGGTGAGGGCCCGGCAGCACACGCGGGGGAGGAGGCGCTGCCCGGTGGCCCTGCTGCACGCGGGCAGCGGCGAACGCTTGTCCCTGGCGTCAGGGACCCAGCCGGGGCTCTCGAGGGGGGAGCATCGGCAGCCTGCAGCCGGCTTGAGGCCTTTTTAAAAGAGATCAAAGAGTTTCCTCCATCCACCCCCCATGGAAGGGACGACCACAGGCTCCGGAAAGACTCTGTGAGAGGCTCTTGGAGCAGTTTGACCTTAGAGGAGTCACAGCTGGTCATCGCTGGCCACGGGGGCGGGGGGAAGGACGCCGCCTTGCTCTTGCTGCGGTCGATGGAAACCTGCCGCTTTGTTATTAGAAAGCTGCCTCTCCTCTTGGCTGCCGGTCAAGCGGGTGACTGGGGGGAAATGAGGCTCCGACAGGGACAGCCTCGTGCCCAGAGGGAACCGCGTGGCTGGGGGTGCTGTCTTGCGTGCCCCGTGGAAGGCGTGCAGGGCTCACGGTACCTTCTGGTGTCCCTTAGAGATGACCGGAACTCCATCGAAGTGGCCTTCAAAGGTGTCGGGGACGTGAAGAAATCTTAGTCCCTGAGGTTCGATGACCCACACGTCCACCTGAGGGTGGGGAAGAAGAAGTACCCAAAGCATTAAAAGCCTCTAAAGGATCTTTAAGCAAGAAGGAAAATTACTATGAAGTCCTCTGACGCTGTTCTCATCTTCGGGTTTTCCCAGCACGGCTCCATGGTCGCTTCTGCAGGTGCTTTTACAGATTCCCCGGGACGCGGGTCATCTAAACCCGCTTCTGTCAACCCAGTGGTCATGGTCTACGGCCTCATTCCCCCGGGATTTAATTCCCCTTCTTCGATCTATCCTAGCTTTTTGATTTGCAAGAGCGTTCACAGTGCTAGGGGGAAAAGGAGGACGTTACTTATCAGCTGTGCCGCTTTTCAAATGGGAATGAAAACGTCACCATGATTAGCTCGTCCCCTTTCATCTCCTGTGTCTCTGGGCCATTACTCTCCCGTCTGCCGGGCGGACAGGCGGGTCGGCTAGTGCTCGCCCCTGGTTGCCTCACTCTGCCTCTTACCCAACAGGTTCATATGATGCCACCAAGATTTAAGCAAAGAAAAAAGCATTTCAGACTTTACATCGAGACAAGAAGATGATGCACGCCGTGTCGATCCTGAGCCTGGCATCTAGCACTCTGGGGAGGCCGAGGCTGATGAGGATTAGCTCTAGGTCAGGAGTTCAAACAAGCCTGAGCAAGAGCAGAGACCCCGTTCTCTACTGTAAAACTAGAAAAGACGTTAATTGGCCAACTAAAAATATATATAGAAAAAATTTAGCGGGGCATGGTGGCGCGATGCCTGTAGTCCCAGCTACCTCGGGAGGCTGAGGCAGGATGATGGCTTGAGCCAGGAGTGGAGGTTGCTGGGGGAGCTAGGCTGATGCCACGGCACCTCTAGCCCGGGAGAAAACAGAGTGGAGACTCTTTGTCAGAAAGAAAGAGAAAGAAGAAAGGAAGAAAGAAAGAAGAAAGAAGAAAGAAGAGCAAGGAAAGAGAAGAAAGAGAAAGAAAAAGAAAGAAAGAAAGAAAGAATGAGAAGAGACAAGAGAAGAGAAAAAGAGAGAGAGAACGAAATGAGAAGAAAGAGAAGAGAGAGAGAAAGAGAGAGAAAGAGAGAGAAGGATGACAGGCAATTGAGTTGCAAGAACGGTGGTGCAAGGAATGTCAAAGGCCTTGCTTCCCTGCAGCGGTGATGGGCAGGGTGGCAGGAAGATAACCAACTTAACACTCATTGAGCACCTATTATCTGCTACCCAGTTCCGTGGATTCACCTCACTTAGAACTAGGGAACAAAGTATGCTATAGCATCCTCTTGTAGAGGTGGGGTCTCGCTATGTTGCCCAGGCTGGTCTCAAACTCCTGGTCTCAAGAGACCCTCCCGCTTCGGCCTCCCCAAGTGCTGGAGTCGCAGGCGTGAGCCACTGCTACAGTATCGTTTCTACACTGCTGAGACAGCAGAGACTCAGGATAACCGGTCCCCGGAGATGGGCGTTGTGGGTTGAAGATGGCAACACCCTAAAGATATGGCTGTATCAAATCTCTGGAACGCGTGAACGTGAATTTATTTGGAAACAGGGTTTCTGCAGATGCAGTTGAGGATCGTCCTGTAGTAGCTGGTGGGCCCAAACCCAATGACAGGTGCTCTCACAGGAGAGAGGCAGAGCGGGATCTGAGATGCTCAGAGGAGGAGATAGGTGATGTGACCACGGAGGAAGAGATTGGAGTGACATGTCGCAAGTCAAGGGAGGCCAGCGGCTGCCAGACAGCAGGAGCAGCAAGGGACAGACCCTTCTCTAGAGCTCCCGGGGGAGCGTGGCTCTGCTGACACCTTGCTTTCAGACCTCTGCAAGAGGATAAATTTCTGTTGTGCTCTGCGCAGTTCGCAGCAATTTCTTTTCTTTTCTTTCTTTCTTTTTTTTTTTTTTTTTTTTTGAGACAGAGTCTCACTCTGTTGCCCGGGCTAGAGTGAGTGCCGTGGAGTCAGCCTCCCTCACAGCAACCTCAGACTCCTGGGCTGGGACTACGGGCATGCGCCACCATGCCCGGCTAACTTGTTTCTATATATTTTTGGTTGGCCAATTACTGTCCTTCTATTTTTAGTAGAGACGGGGGTTCGCTCTTGTTCAGGCTGGTCTCGAACTACTGACTTCAAGCCATCCTCCCGCCTCGGCCTCCCAGAGTGGCGGGATTACAGGCGTGAGCCACCGCGCCCGGCCTCGCAGCAATTTCTTACGGCAGTAGCCGTAGGAAACTACTCCAGCACAGCTGATGAGGGGCAGAGCTGACGCCGAAATCCACCGGGACATGGCTCCCTCCAAACCCGTGACCTGTTCGGTACACCTGCAGAGTCGACTGGCATCCAACGCCTCACATAGCGACGACAACCAGGAAGTATAAATCGGGGGTGGAGACCGTGAGAGTCCAGGGCCACTGTCCACCCTCCAAAGCCACGCTCACCTCCAGGTGCTTGGCCAGCCGTCCCGGCTGCAGGGAAAGCCTGTGCTCGTAGGACCCCAGCTTCCTCCACTTCACCTCCTGGTACTGGAGTTCGAACTGCACCTTTGCCCCGGGAAGGACGTTCACTTCGGTTTTGAAGGTCTCCATATCGAGAGCCCCGCTCCTAAAGGAGAGAGCCCCCAACGTAAGTCGCCACGTGCACCACCGAGCTGCAGGACCCGGGATCTAGGCAGAGGGCTGCGTGGAGACTCTCCTGGGAGACCCAGCCTCTCAGTTGCTCATGGAAATGAGCCGCCCGCACCCTGGAGAAAAGTGCAAACGTCTAGACCCAGTTAATCCCACCAAGAGGGTCAGTTTCCTCTCCGACCTGATCTTCTGCTTCCGGAGCTTCTTACTGATTTGAGTGCCACCTGCAAAAAGCTACTAGCCATTGGTTCCTGTTCTGGGCCACGAACCTGCCATAGGTCACCACTGATGCAGCAGCTCTGCGGGACGGGATATCACCCGATGTCACCCTGATCTTTCAGACAGACGAGGCTCATAGAGGGTGAGGAACCTGCTTGAGACCCCACCGCCAGCCAACTGGAGGACCAGGACTCACACCCACGGTCAGACGACTACAAAGACGGCACACATTTCCTATGCTGCTGTGGAGGAGACTCACTCCAGAAGTCTTTATTTTTCTATTTTTCTATTTTATTTTATTTTACTATTTTTTTTTTTAGAGACAGGGTCTCCCTCTGTCACCCAGGCTGGAGTGCAGTGGTGCGATCAAAGCTCACTGCAGCCTCCAACTCCTGGGCTCAAGAGATCCTCCTGCCTCAGCCTCCCAAGTAGCTGGGACTACAGGCGTGCGCCATCACTCCCAGCTACTTTTTCTTATTATCTGTAAATTTTTCTTATTATCTGTCTCGCTATGTTGCCCAGGCTGGTCTCGAACTCATGGCCTCAAGCGATCCTCTTGCCTGAGCCTCCCAAAGTGCTGGGACTACAGGCGTGAGCCGCTGCACCTGGCCTCTGTCTATATTTTAGAGGAATTCTATTATTTCATCATGTCGAATATATATTTGTAGTGTAAGAACTTATTTGGTCACTGTACATACTGGGTCCAGTGTGATTAGTGATTTTGAGGCATTAATGGTTTTAAAGAGAAAACGGCTGGTTTGCCGCTGGGTGAGGGGAGAAGAGAGGAAGCCCCCTTGGAGATGAGAGGGCGAGTCCTGCTCACCCAGGCCTTACCTCACCAAGCCCGTCGTCTTGCCTTTCGCTCTTGCCTGGGAGTAGAGGGCTTTGCCCACGGTTTTCTCCTTAATGGAACTCCTGAATGTCGTGCCATCCACAGTCCTAGAAAACAGCAGAAGGCAACCTATTGGTGAGAGTAGCAGCCTTAGCAAAGCAACAGAAACGACCCAGCAAGCTTGGTGTAATGAACGGGTAGCAATGATCATTTTGCACCTGTAAGAAACAAGAAGAGACATCGGAATAACTCGTAGACAAGATGTCCTTCATGTGACTGTGTGATTTGAGAGGGGCGAGGGAGCCTCCCATCCTAAAAACTTTCCCTCGGGTACTGCTCTTTGTGTTTAAACTCTTCCCTCGTTTTCAAATGGTATCCTTCTTCTTGGGTATCCATGG